AAAACATGTTAAGATCTGGACCCCATAGTTCCTGTACAGGCACCCGAAACACCATGATACGCTCTGGAGGGTAAGCTGCAGAAGTTACCCCTCTATCCCCCCCCCCCCTCCCCTTTTTTTTCTATCTCGTTTTCTTCTCTCTCCTCCTCCCTTTGTCCTCCTGTCTCTTTCTCAGAAAATTTAATATAGCGAGAGTCAGTGCAGAAATTTCATTTAAAGACGTGTGTATTCTTTTGCACATATTAGGAATTCCGATAAGTGTGATTGGCTCCGATTCCTTGAGCTTTGTCTATGCTTGGAATAGAAGATGTTGATTTTGCATGTCAATCAGTATTTGTTTTCTGTCTAATGAAACCATTTGCTTGGCTCTACTAAAGTTTGAAAATAAAGAATTATAAAAAAAAAAAAAAAAAAGTGATATATATAATTTTTAATATTATTATCACAAGTCACTTTGATCATCCCTACTAGCACAGATCCTCAACTCCAAATCCCGTTCCCAACAGAAATCCACTCTTCTAGTACAAATCCCCCCCTGCAAATCACTGAATCTGGCACAACCCTCTAAAATCCCCACTGCACCCAGGGCAGCTGCTCCATCTGCCCCCTGCCCTGCAATCAGCTTTCAGGTTTCATTGCAAGAGTTTAAGGGCTCTTTCACTCAGACGTTTCGATCGGGTCCGCCTGTCCGTTTTTCAGGCAGAACCAATCGGATCTTGCATTCTTCTCTATGGAGCGGTGGGTGTAAACAGACATGTGTGCGTTTACACCCGCCGACATCCAATCCTCAAAAAGGAACAGATGGGAATCCAATTACTCTTCCGTTTTAGGTGAGGGATTGGGGGTCGTTGCTTTCCAGGGTGGGTCTGTCGGATCAAGTCGGATGAAAACGGACAGGTGGTCTGTTTTCATCCAGCTGCCCATCGAGGAGAGGGGTGCAGCTCTGTGTCTGCTCTGCAGCAGCAGAGCAGACACAGAGCTGTCATCCGCTTGCTCAGCGGGGATCAGCGGAGAGATCGCACGCTGAGCAAGCAGATCCGCTAAATGGGTTCACCCCATCTGAAAGGACCCTAATTGAACGAGCTGAAGTTAGAAGCTGATTGGCTACCAAGCACAGCTGCACCAGATTCTGTGTTCCCCCGTTTTAGTAAATCTCCCCCAGTGCCCTGTGAACCCTGGGAGTGCATGAAAAAGTCATAAAAAAAATGGAAAAATGCACTGAAAAACACATGCTTATGCAGCAGCACTAGTTTGAACCCAGGCTTAGGGCTCGTTCACACGGGGGTCGGTGGCACTGTTAATTTTGAGGACAAATTTCGATTCTGTTTTAATCATAGTTTTTTGACTAAACTGCAATTGTAGCTTTACCAAAGGTTCACACCTAAGCGTTTTCTGCAGAGTTTTGCATTTTGCAGAAGCGAAGTACAGTCCATTTAACATTTATAAAAATTAGTGTAGCGCTTCTAAATACAAACACTTAAATAAACATACAATAATGTGCCAAAAAAAAAGTGCCTCAGTCACCTATGAGACTGGTGAAAGTGATGACAATATCCAAAATATACATATATTTCCGTGATTAATATTGTGCTAAGGTCACCTAGGTGACCTATACAAGTGACATAAAAAACAAATAATAAGGACCCTTATATATGGGAATACAAACAAACAACGTGATAGTGCCACTTCAAATCACATAAAGAACACCCGAGGAAGTCAAGCGACCCAGTGACGTAACGCGTAGGTACGCCGATACGCAGCTTCTGGTACGAGGTGACGCACTTCCGGTGTTGGACACCATCTTAGCACACCTAGGAAGTACTGCATGGATGAGGAGAGGGAGGGGACTGCAATAAATGTGAGTTTATTTGATAATTTGAATAAAGGACTGTTTGCTCATTGAAATACTACACTATGGAGGATCTCAATGGTGTGGTGAGACACATATTCTGCAGAGTACCTAATCAGAGGGACCTGGAGGTTGTATTGGAGAGAAACTGGAGGTGGAGTAATATTAGTCGGTACTGAGAAGGATCCAAGGTGATCCTGAAGGCTTTCTGGCCCTTTGGGGTCACAGAAAGGAGGTGAGGAGGCTGGAGTGGAAGATGTGTGCTGACACTTTCACGGATTAAGCACTATTTGCACGTTGCATGTTCATACAAAACACCTGTTAAAATATTTATGGACTATTAGAGTGTTCAGAGTGTTCTTTACGTGATTTGAAGTGGCACTATCACGTTGTTTGTTTGTATTCCCATATATAAGGGTCCTTTTTATTGTTTTTTTATGTCACTTTTATAGGTCACCTAGGTGACCTTAGCACAATATTAATCACGGAAATATATGTTTATTTTGGATATTGTCATCACTTTCACCAGTTGCATAGGTGACTGAGGCACTTTGTTTTTTTGCCACATTATTGTATGTTTATTTAAGTGTTTGTATTTAGAAGCGCTACACTAATTTTTATAATACTTATACACTCCTAGATTGTAAGCTTGAAAGAGTAGGGCCCTCTAACCCCTCATGTTCTGTTTGTTGTTGCTGTACTGTTTCATGTATTGTCCCCCCCTCTATTGTACAGTGCTGAGTAAACCCTTTGGCACTATATAAACTCGATGTAATAATAATAATAATAATACACTGGTTGGTTATCAGCTCTGAGTGTTAGCAGCTATTTGTTAGGGTTTACTTCCGTTATTAGCGCAGGAGGATTTTGTTGCCTATAGTTCATTTAACATGATTTCCTATTGGACAGGTTCACATCTCTGCGTTTTCACCCGGTTCATTTTTTGGAAAGGGTCAGGGACTTTTTTTGAGCGCAAAAAATTGCGGTTTTGGTTCTATAGCCCTCAATGGAAACACTACAGAAAAGCATGTATTGCATTTTTGCTGCATTTGTGTTTTAAATCTGCCTAGCAACAAGAAAAATGTAAAAAAAAAAAAAAGAGTAAACAACGCAGGTGCAAAACGCAATGCAAAACGCAATGCAGAAACAGCTCAAATGCAATGTGTATCGGTGTGAACCTAACCTAAGGCTACTTTCACAATGAGATGCTGTAAAAACACAGCAAAAAGGCATAGGCATCTTTACTGCACTTTCTGAGTGTTTTTAAAGGACGTTACTTAAACACTGCACCAAAAATGCTTCCCAGAGGCGTTTTTGGAGGCTTTCTTCAGATGCTTTCCATTGATTTCAATGGGAAGAGGTGTTTTTGGGGTGTTTGTTTTTAACTCACTAAACATGCCCCGAAGATGTTGCAAGCAGATTTTACACCGCACACAGGGGCGGACTGACCATTTGGAAACTCGGACACTGCCTGAGGGCCTGGGGTCAGTAGGGGGCCCCATGAGATGCCCCTGGTACCTTTTTCATAGGCTTTTTTGAGTTTGGGCAAGGACACAGGGGCCCCATGATCCCCTATTGCCCGGGGGCCCCATGAGTTGTCAGTCCACCCCTGCTCCCACCGCAAGCACAATGCCTCACTGTGAAAACATACATAGATATACTTTCATATACATAGGGAAGAATTTTTCTTGAGCTTTCAGGCGCTTTTTTTTTACCGCAAAAATGCTTCAAAAACTCCTCAGTGTGATAGTCATATTTTAGTCATCTGAATTGAAACAGAATTTCATTTTCATTTAGTCTTTGTCACTGAAAACATGCTGCTGATGAATACTATGATGAAAATATTTTCATCAACAAAATTAAAACTGACAGGTGGTGGTAGAAGTAAACGGATGAGCTGCGGTTTTTACCGCCTCCTGACAGCCCACTTAAAGCAGGACATTCATATTGCAACCATGATGCTTTGTCAAAAATCAATCCATGTGTCACATTTGGTTGGCGCTACCACCGCTGAATGCAAGCCATTTAAAAATATACGACCGCGTCACAACTGCCCTGCATGCCGTTTTTTTAGGGTTAAAAAAGGTGGTGAGTAGGTAACATATCACCTTCTCACTGCCTGTCAAATGCCCTCTGAAAAACATTCAACCACAGATCACTTTTCAGAGAAGCGGTGATGAATGAGAATGAGCCCGAAGTGTTTTTAGATGGAGCAGAATGTACTCTTGTAGACTTGCAGAGTTGTGGATGTGTCTGCAGACTGGAGTCATGTCCCCCACCAGAGTAAAACAAAGAGGTTTGTTGGAAGCTGTCATGTGCCTATTTTTGGAAGCGATTCACCTCCTGCTTTTGTGATTTCCTCAGTGTGCTCATGTCCTGACTGACAGGCAGTGCTGATGAGTCAGGCATGGCAAGCAACCTCTTGTCTGTCTTTGTGTACACCATCTAATCTGCGCTCAGGGGACGCCTGGATCTTGTTGCAACAGGGAGGTCTGGTTACCTCTTGTCTTGTCATAGAGGAAATATGTTGCTGCAATCCGGTTATTGTGCTTTTCCTGAGTCCATGGAGCTAGTGTCTGCAGTGGAGAGGGGAAAGGGGGGGGACTGGGAACCTTTGGCCTGAGAGACCCTTTTCTGTGTGCTATGGTGAAAGATGGGTGTTGCTAAAGAGTACAAAGTGGGCCCTCAGTACACTTTAACCACTTCCAGTCCGGACACTTTTTACCCCCTTCCTGTCCAGGCCAATTTTCAGCTTTCAGTGCTATCACACTTTGAATGACAATTGCGCGGTCATGCAACACTGTACCCATATGAGTTTTTTTAGCATTTTGTTTGAGACAGATAAAGCTTTATTTTGGTGGTATTTTATTCACCACTGGGATTTTTATATTTTTTTTTGCTATGTAAATGAAAAAGTCCAAAACTTTGGAAAAAAAAAGTGTTTTTCTTATAAAATTTTGCAAATAAATAATATTTCATCATAAATCTTGGCCAAAATGTATTCCATTATCTTTTTAGTAAAAAAAATAACCCACATTAGTTTATAACCAAAAATTATAATTTTTAAACATTTTTTTTTTTTACATTTTTAATTTATTTTTTTCTATTATTATTTGTTTTTTTTTACATACTGTCACCCTCAACCCTAGCAGTACTGTGTCACCATGGTCCTACCATTCTCACTGCGCATGCACGGCTCAGGGAGCGCGCAGCGATCGTCGGTGCGATGTGTCCCTCGGACACAGCGGATCACAGAAAGAGCCGAAGATGTCGGTCGGCTCCGTCATGTGATCAGCTGTGTCCAATCACAGCTGATCACATGTAAACACGGAAATGCCGGTTATCGGAATTTCTCTCCTCTCGAGCTGTCACGCTGACAGCTCGAGAGGTGAGGAGAGCCGGTAATCGGCTTTCCGCGGCGGGGACATGTACACTGTTTCATCAGGGATGATCAGTGTGCCCTGATGATCATGTGGCCCAGGAAGTGCCACCTGTCAGTGCTCATCAGTGCCACTTGCCAGTGCCCATCAGTGCCACGTGCCAGTGCCCATCAGTTGCACATCAATGCCACATATCAGTGCATACCAGTGCACATCAATGCCACATATCAGTGCCCATCTGAGCTGCCTTTCAATGTCACCCATCAGTGCCAGTCAGTGCCACCTATCAATGCCAATCAGTGCCACCTATCAGTGCTGCCAATCAGTGCCAGTCAGTGTCGCCTATCAGTGCGCATCAGTGCCAGTCAGTGCCGCCTATCAGTGCCAGTCAGTGCCGCCTATCAGTGCCAGTCAGTGCCGCCGCCTATCAGTGCCACCTATCAGTGCCATATATCAGTGTCATTTATCAGTGTCATGTCTCAGTGCTGCCTTTCAGTGCCCATCAGTGATGCCTGTCAATGCCCATCAGTGCAACCTACCAGTGCCTCCTCATCAGTGCCACCTATCAGTGTCCATCAGTGCAGCCTATCAGTGCCCATCACTGCAGCCTCATTAGCGCACATCAGTGAAGGAGAAAAACCACTTATTTACAAAATTGTATAACAAAAACTAAGAAAAAACTTTTTTTTTTCAAAATTTTCAGTGGTTTTTGGTTGTTTAAGAAAAAATAAAAATCCCAGAGATGATTAAATACCATCAAAAGAAAGCTCTATCTGTCTCAAAAAATGATAAAAATGTCATATGGGTACAGTGTTGCATGACCCGCGCAATTGTCATTCAAAGTGTGACAGCGCTGAAAGCTGGAAATTGGCCTGGGCAGGAAGGGGGTATAAGTGCCCTGTAGGCTAGTGGTTAATGAGCAACTCACACCTAAGCTAATCTCAACACATTACTGCTCTCTCTCTGCTTCTACTCTCTGTATTTCTCTGAAACAGTCTGAAATAGTTAATAATTTACCACTTTTCAGTGCATTCTTGGCATTTGGGGATGTTCTTCTGTGCTTATCTTTAAAAAAAAACTATTCTAAAACACAAACGCACATAAACACGCATAAACGCTTTATGCAAACGAGGCTAAACAGATGTTTTCCAGCAGTGAGTTTCCATCCTTCAAAAGTGTCCCATGTACACGGGGCCTTAGGCTTTTTTTCCCCTCTGTTTTTACTTGTTGATCTCACCAGTAACACACCTCCTGGATTAGGATTGTCCCCACTCTGGAAGAAGGAGCATAGGGGGGCACCTTTGGACAGCAGCATCATTTTCAGTCTGGGGGAGGGGAGTGTAAAATGTACTAGCAGATTTAAATACACTAAATAATTTAAGCCAAACTCCAGCTAATACTTTTTATTCAGTTACCGCAGTTTTTTTCCCTTTCAGGGTAAAGGTTTTCATAAATAAAGAAAAAAAAACCTAATCATTGTAAGGGCCCTGTTAGTATTAAATGGTTTGTCGTATCCCTGTAAACTGATACAGAACAGCTTCTTCTTTTAAAAAAAACAACAGACATACAGGCTGTATCATCAGGTGAAAATAAAGGAAAGGACGCCTAAAAAAGAAAACTAGTACAGCCATTACATCTAAAAACTGGTAAGCTGCAATATAACAAATGTTTGCTTTCGGGTTTAATACTGCTTTAAGAAGGGTGGTCGAGGGACAATAAAACTGCAAATTAAACCTTCTATTTTTACCACCCTCCAGCTGCCCATGTGATTGACTCCTTTGGGCTCATTTACACCAGATGCAGCTGAATGCATTTTAATCCCAGGACAGGATGAGCATGTCTACACAAAGGTGACAGGAGTAAATATTAAAGTTGATGTGCGCAGGCCTTGGCATGGGAGCACATCCAGTACTCTGCTTTCTTAGTGGTTGAGATTGAATTTGTGTAAGCAAACACCTTAAAGCTTTTTGCACACTGTACAGATGTATGAGCATCAGACATTCCTGGCAGAAGAAAATGCAAGGATGGACTAGAATCGCACTAAAGTAGTACAGGACCCTTTTCCAAAATTGCGCTGTGCTGTGTTGCATTGATGTGAATGGGTACCATTGAAAACAATGGGATTTCCATTGTCATGTGCAGGGCTTTTTTACAGATGGAATTTGGTGGAACTCCGTTCCGCCACCTCTGGCTCAGGCCCTCTGCTTCCTGCTCACCACTGTCACTTGTGGTGGTTTATGTAGAGGAGTCCGGTTCCTTTTGTAAGGATGCGATACCTTTCCCTTCTGAAATATTCAGTGCCTGCAGCACGTGACAGATACGAGGCCGCCCACCAGTGTAGTGTGGAAGATGGTGGACACCAATTGATTTTGAAGGAGTGAGGAGAGATAGATTGAGGGCAGTGGAGAGGGGTTCTGTGCAGAGCTGAAAAGGGGGCCTTGTGGAATAGTGGAAATATCGAATTGGGGATTCGGAGATAAGCAGCTAAAGAAGGATATGAACTCTTCTGAACATACTCTATATGTAGTGCTGCCCTGAACTTTACACTTCGTGTGTAGTGCGTGTGAACTCTGCACTCTGTACCTAGCACACTCCTAAAATTCTAAGGTCTGTGACCGAGTGCACTCAATGAAACTGCACTCTGTGTGTAGTGCACCCTTGAACTCTGCACTCTGTGTGTAGTGCCCCTGAACTCTGCACTCTGTGTGTAGTGCACCCCTGAATCTGCTCTCTGTGTGTAGTGCACCCCTGAACTCTGCACTCTGTGTGTAGTGCACCCCTGAACTCTGCACTGTGTGTGTAGTGCACCCCTGAACTCTAACTGTGTGTGTAGTGCACCCCTGAACTCTGCTCTGTGTGTAGTGCACCCCTGAACTCTTGTAGTGCACCCCCTGACTCTCTGCTCTCTGTGTGTAGTGCACCCAATGAATTTCTGTTCTCTGTGTGTAGTGCACCCCTGAACTCTGCTACTCTGTGTGTAGTGCACCCCTGAACTCTGCACTCTGTGTGTGTGCAGTGAAGTAGACTGCACCATGAATTCTGTTCTCTCTGTGTGTAGTGCAGTTTTTAGGATGAAGTGTAGAGCAATGAACTCTGTTCTCTGTGTGTAGTGCACCCCCTGACTTTCTCTGTGTGTAGTGCACCCCCTGAAACAATGCACTCTGTGTGTAGTGCACCCCTGAACTCTGCACTCTTGTGTGTAGTGCACCCCTGAACTTGTTCTCTGTGTGTAGTGCAACCCTGAACGTGTTCTCTGTGTGTAGTGCACAGCCCTGAACTCTGCACTCTGTGTGTAGTGTACCCCTGAACTCTGCACTCTGTGTGTAGTGCAACCCCTGAACTCTGCACTCTGTGTGTAGTGCACCCTGCTGAACAATGCACTCTGTATGTAGTGCACCCCTGAACTCTGCACTCTGTGTGTAGTGCACCCCTGAACTGGTTCTCTGTGTGTGTAGTGCACCCCTGAACTCTGCACTCTGTGTGTAGTGCACCCCTGAACTCTGTTCTCTGTGTGTAGTGCACCCCTGAACTCTGTGCTCTGTGTGTAGTGCAACCCTGAACCCTGTTCTCTTATGTGTAGTGCAGCCCTGAACTCTGCACTCTGTGTGTAGTGCACCCCTGCTGAACAATGCACTCTGTATGTAGTGCACCCCCTGAACTCTGCACTCTGTGTGTAGTGCAACCCCTGAACTCTGCACTTTTCTGTGTGGTAGTGCACCCCTGAACTGCTGTGCTCTGTGTGTAGTGCACCCCTGAACTCTGCACTCTGTGTGTAGTGCACCCCTGAACTCTGCACTCTCTGTGTGTAGTGCACCCCTGAACTCTGTGCTCTGTGTGTAGTGCACCCTGAACTCTGCACTCTATGTGTAGTGCACCCCAGAACTCTGTTCTCTGTGTGTAGTAAAACCCCTGAACTCTGCACTCTGTGTGTAGTGCACCCCTTGAACTCTGCTCTCTTGTGTGTAGTGCACCCCTGAACTTTGTGCTCTGTGTGTACTGCACCCCTGAAACTCTGCACTCTGTGTGTAGCAACCCCCCCAGAACTCTGTTTTCTGTGCGTAGTGTAAACCCCTGAACGCTGTGCTCTGTGTGTAGTGTACCCTTGAACTCTGCACTCTGTGTGTGTAGTGCACCCCTGAACTCTGCACTCTGTGTGTAGTGCACCCCTGAACTCTGCACTCTGTGTGTAGTGCACCCCTGAACTCTGCACTCTGTGTGTAGTGCATACCCCTGAACTCTGTGCTCTGTGTGTAGTGCACCCCTGAACTCTGCGCTCTGTGTGTAGTGCACCCCTGAACTCTGTACTCTGTGTGTAGTGCACCCCTGAACTCTGCACTCTGTGTGTGTAGTGCACCCCTGAACTCTAAACTCTGTAGTGCACCCCTGAACTCTGCACTCTGTGTGTAGTGCACCCCTGAACTCTAAACTCTGTAGTGCACCCCTGAACTCTGCACTCTGTTAGTAGTGCACCCCTGAACTCTGTTCTCTGTGTGTAGTGCACCCCTGAACTCTGTTCTCTGTGTGTAGTGCACCCCTGAAGCTCTGCACTCTGCACTCTGTGTGTAGTGCACCCCTGCTGAACTCTGCACTCTGTGTGTAGTCAACCCTGAACTCTGTTCTCTGTGTGTAGTGCACCCCTGAACTCTGCACTCTGTGTGTAGTGCACCCCTGAACTCTGCACTCTGTGTGTAGTGCACCCCTGAACTCTGTTCTCTGTGTGTAGTGCACCCCTGAACTCTGCACTCTGTGTGTAGTGCACCCCTGAACTCTGCTCTATGTGTGTAATTCAACCCTGAACTGTGTTCTCTGTGTGTAGTGCAGCCCTGAACTCTGCACTCTGTGTGTAGTGCAGCCCTGAACTCTGCACTCTGTGTGTAGTGCACCCTGAACTCTGTTCTCTGTGTGTAGTGCACCCCTGAACTCTGTCTCTGTGTGTAGTGCAACCCTGAACTCTGCACTCTGTGTGTAGTGCACCCCTGAAACAATGCACTCTGTATGTAGTGCACCCCTGAACTCTGCACTCTGTGTGTAGTGCAACCCTGAACATTGTTCTCTGTGTGTAGTGCAACCCTGAAACGTGTTCTCTGTGTGTAGTGCAGCCCTGAAACTCTGCACTCTGTGTGTAGTGTACCCCTGAACTCTGTTCTCTGTGTGTAGTGCACCCCAGAACTCTGCACTCTGTGTGTAGTGCACCCCTGCTGAACAATGCACTCTGTATGTAGTGCACCCCTGAACTCTGCACTCTGTGTGTAGTGCAACCCTGAACTGTGTTCTCTGTGTGTAGTGCACCCCTGAACTCTGCACTCTGTGTGTAGTGCACCCCTGAA